TTCCTCGTTCGTTCATCGGATGGCAGGAATGCGGCTTGGAAGATTTTATCGGAGATCGTACCAATGTCTTCAGAATTTTGGACCGGAAAATGTAATCAGGAACTATGTCAGAAGCCTCTTGGGTTGTCATTGTTGGACGCGAAAATGTCATCTGAAACTCTGTTGGGAGCCGTTTAGGGAGGCAGCTGAAGTGTCAATCATGCGTGGCTGAGGCCAGGCACCCGCGGGGTTGGCAGAACGCTTTCGGCAAAGTGCAGGTGCAGCGCATGCTGCAAGGCAGCCCGGCGGGGTGGTGCGTGCAACAGCAACCAAACAACTGTGGAGGTGCGCCTGCTTGGAAAATGCAGGAGCCTTGCGCTATTTCCTCATGCTGGAGATGCCGGACATGGCCCAGGGACCAGAAGTTCAAGTGGACTTAAGCGGCATGCGTCATCCGCTAGCTGCCGCAGAAACGGAGATCCTTTTGGACGGACTGACCTGTCCAGGGCGCGCTGGAGCATCTCCAGTCATTTCACTTTTTAAAGCCCAAATCCCACTCAGAAAAACTGGGCAGGACTTCCAGTGTGCCTCGAGCCCCTGACCGAAAAATTCCTGCTGCACCTCCCATCCGATTCCAGTGTCGGTCGGCGGCCTAAGACAGAGATTTTGCTCCAACGCGGTTTGCGGACTCTTTCGACGAGCACGCACGGTCATTTTAATTTTGCGAGCGCTGAGGACCCAAGGGCGCCCGGGGCCTCACTGAAGCGCTGCGGCGCTGCAAAGTGCTCCGGGAGCTGGACTTCAAGTCGGTTGACATTGGCCTCGGCCTGGAAGCCAAGGAGATCTCTCGCAAGCGAAATGCATGGGAGCCGGGCTGTTGATGCTGACCACCTACATAACAATCAGCCAAGCGCAGATTCAGCATGGCAACCTGCAGCTTCAGAGGCACGCAACAGATTTTAGGATCCGTAGACCACATGCAAATGACGGTGGTCGTACCCCAACCCAAAGTTGTGTGTGATTTTGTTGTACTGTTGATGCCATCGAAACAGAAAGTCCCCTGAGCTTTTTGGAAACAGCTGGGTCGCCAATCAATCTCCCATTTTGGCGCTGTACTGCAGATGGTGCCAGAGGAGGCTGCCGCGGCAAACGCGCTGCACGGCCTCCAGGAGCTAACTCATTTGAAGCTCGACTTGTCGAACAATCAGTGTGGCCAGGCTCCCCAGAGCAGAGGGAGGGTGTGATTCAGGGCGCGGGGCATGAAGACAAGCAAGCAAGCTTCCCACCCAGGGTACATGTGTGTTTCGGAATTCGTCCAAAATGCTTGCGCGAGTGTAAGCACCATTGTAGTTGCCGTACCCTCGGTATTCAGCACTTGACAAAGTCAGCCAGTCAGCCCTGCAATCTCAGAAATCTCCTATCTGTCTGTGCTCTCCGGCTCTCCCTTTGAAGGGGAGCCTGTGATGTTGTTGGTTGCAAGAAAATCTTAATAACATGTTCAGGAAGTGAGGGGGGGGTGAGAACGGTGAGAACGGCTGACGCCTAGATCCGAGAAATGTATGATTTTGGCCTTGGGTGCAGAGAGGCAAGTCGCATTCTTCTTGGCCCACACGTCCTGGCATGTCGTAGAACATTTAGAGGGTTGTGGCAGCAACATCGGCTACATTCTGAGGCACTAAGGGTTGCAGCTCGCTGGCAGAAGCCCTCAGCCACCTACCAATGCTGACTGCAGTGGAGCTCGTCCTTGACTACCTTGACCTTGGCCGGGGGCCCTGGATGCGGGGTTCTCATGTGGCTGCCCGAACTGCGACAAATGCTTTGACGCAAAACATCCTGAATGGTCTTCCACACATTCTGGTAACTTGCCATGAATTCCGGTCCATGTCGGGCAGCCACCGAAGCTACTTCGAGATCTGCGCTCTCCGACGCTCATATTGAAGGGACTCCTCTGCTGTTGCTGCACCTGCAATGCCATGTTCGGGAGGCGAGGGCATCGGGAAATCAGATGCTCGTGCGCGCTGCCTAGCGTCTCTTCCACCACCAGCTGCAATGCACATGGTGCCAAGGTGCAGAGGAGGCAGTCACTCTGGCCAGCGCACTTCGCAGCCTCCAGGACCTGACTCAGCTGAAGCTTAGTTTCAGCTGGCATTGTACAATCCGCCAGAGGCCCCGGAGCAGAGAATGCAGGGAGCGGAACGGGACATGAGGGGTTCAGGAATCACATGTTTAAATGGTTGAAATACGTCCAGTGAATGTTCCTGGGAGTGTTTGTCAGCACTGCACAATTTTGTACGTAACTGCTGAAGTGATGAGGACCTCCTGTCGGTCCCTTCCTACAACATACCGAGGCCCCGAGGGCTGGCAGTCGCTGGCAGAAGCCCTCGGCCACCTCCCGAAGCTGGCAGCTCTGGAGCTCGACCTTCAGTGGTGTCAAGCTCAGCTCGGCCGGGGCCCTAAGAGCTGGACACCGGGAAGATGAGGGCTGCTCATTTTGCTCCGCGAAACGAAATCCGCGAACTTGTTTTGATGCAAAGCATCCTGCAGCGACACATTCCGGAAACTTGCGGCTCAGGAATCGCGGCGCGCAGAAGCTACGCCTTGATATTCAGGGTGCACTCTAAAAAGTCGGCAACCTCAGGAATATCCAAACTTGTTTTTTTCTCTCCGATACTCCTTTTTGAAAGGAATCCTCTGATTTTGCCCCGAGCCTCAAGACCATGTTCGGGAGGCGAGGGGGAGAGTGGTGATGTGTAGCGGTTGACGCCAAGATCCCGTTTCCGATAGTGGTTTGCGTTTTTGGGGCTTGAATACGTGCTGAGTGGGATGCCGTACTTCTTGTCCCATACACAGTGGCTTGTTAAATCGGCTCTAGGTTTTCTATCTGAGCTTTACATCGTTTTATACTTTACATCAAGATATTTCTTCGGCGCAAGAGAAAAGGGCACCCTCGACACCCCTGTTTAAAGCAGACTCGTTGCCCCAGGCACCTGCTACCACGTTCAGATGCGAGTGGGTTGACAACGGTTACACAACGCTAAGATCCCGAATTTCCGACATCGAAGGCGATCAAAGGATTTGCGATGAGAGTCCGCGACGAGTGGTAACCCACTTCTTATTTGGGTCAGCAGGCCCAGGCCACGCAGACATGCTTGACCAAACCGCGAAGCCCAAGACAACAAATGGTGGAGGAGGCTATGTTGCTGCTGCTCGTGCACGCTACCCCCGTCTCGCCACCAGCTGCAATGCAGATGGTGCCAAGGCGCAGAGGAGGCAGCCACTCTGGCCAGCGCACTTCGCGGCCTCCAAGATCTAACTCGGCTGAAGCTTCACGTACAAATCGGCCTGGAACCCCAGAGCAGAGAATCCAGGGAGCGGGCGCGGGGCATGAGGGGGTGAAGTTTAGACAAGGGGCGGCTGCGATGCGACAGAAGGAAGATCAGGAAGCACATCTCTAAATGGTTGGCACACGTCCATGAGTGAATGTTCCTGGGAGCTTTGTACGTATCTGCTGAAGTTCTGAGGGACCCCTTCCTACAACATACCGAGGCCCCGAGGGCTGCCACTCGCTGGCAGAAGCCCTCGGCCACCTCCCGAAGCTGGCAGCTCTGGATCTGCTCTTTAGCAATTGCAAGCGCGGCCGGGTGGCCCAAGACATGCGCAGGGCCAGTCTTGTGTTGTCTTTTGCTTGTCTTCGTGCTGCCCTCACAAGTATGGGAGTTGTCATGCAATTTTCCGGCGTTTTCGAACTGCAAGTGTTAAATGCCGACATGTTGGAAAACGTGTCATGCACATGCGTGCGTGGGTGTAGGTTTATACTGTACCTAAGGAAGACACGCGGGGCTTGTACTTAGAGTTCCTGGCGTGCACGATTTTCTTACTGTGTAGGTGTTGAACTCGGGCCGTCTGAGCAGCTTTCGTGCGCTAGACTTATTTTTGGTTTCGGCTCGGTCTGCAGCTTACGCAGCTGACACACATACGAGCGGGAGTTGCACGCCGGTGCTTCGAGACACGTTTTTGAAGCGACAAGCATTGTAGCTGGTACAAGGACTCTGCCAGCTGAGGAGCACGAAGTTTGAAGCAAAGTCTTGAAGGGTCTTTGTTTCGTCGCCTTCTTGTCAGCTTTGCTACTCAGATTGCACCAGCCTCGATCCCCAACAGCAGTTGAGGACCACTTAGGCCGCGAATCGCCAGAAAAATGCATCTTCTCCTGGAATAACCAAAACAAGCAAAACCAAAACACAAACAAACAAAACAATAAGCACGAAACAACAAAACACACTCCAGGACTCCTGGACCTCGTGGTACCAAAACACAAAAAATCAAAGATCCACGGCTCCTGAAACTAGCACTCAAGACCATGTCTCAGGGAGTTCTGAAGTATGGGTTTTGTTTTTGTTTTCCGTACGTAATTGTAGTTGACCCCTGCTCAAAGAGTTCTGAAATATGAATTGCTTTTTGTGTTTTTCGACGAGTTTGGGAAGCAGGCGCGAAATCCATGAAGAAATCAGCGCAAGAACGCGCAGAAAGCGCACGCCCAGGGTCCCCCGTGTTGAGAAGACGAATTGGCTCTGGGACTTGGGGACCCTTGAAAGATAGGTACAGAAAGAACAGTTTCCGAATCCTCCGAAGAGGTCTCTCATTTTGACCATATGAGTGATGAGCTTGCTTGGGCGCCCGTGCTGGCTTCCGAACTTCGTTGACACAGGGTGTCGAATGCCATCCATTTGGAAGGTCTCCGACAGCAATTTGTGACTCTGCATGCTCCTTCTATAAGCTCCAAGACGAGGTCAGTTTTCCCTCCCTCTCCACTTCCTGCGCCTTCTTGTCGTGTGCCTACTTCGCCTTTGCGGCCCTGTTATGGCACCAAACCTCTTCCGCAGGAAGGTAGCTCGGGTGTTTTTGTTCATGCCACGGGGTGGAGGCGGGCAGTAGGGAGTGAGGGTCACCCTTTTATTCCTTCAAGTCAGTCGTTTTGCCGAAAAGCCGGAGGCCAACACTCCGACTGAATCCCTGAAAGGTCTTTGCATCGATGACGTCGCCTTCTTTCCAGGTTGTCTACTTAGTTTCCATCACGAATGTGCTTGCTCCTGGTGGTCCGCGGGAGCGAAGGTGTGGAGGCAGCCGCCGCTCTGCCTGACGCCCTTGCGGGGCTACATGAGCTCCAGCAGCTGACCCTCAATTTGATGGGCTGGCAAACCGGCCCGGGGGCCAAGGAACCAGGCCTGCCAAACCTTTCAAAACCTGAGTCACATTCTTCATTAGGGTGGCAATCATACCATTCAGCCTCCCGAGAGCTGGCCAAACAACAGCTCCAGAGGCTTCCGCCTGAAGAGCTTCAAACAGCCAGATTTCTGATATTGCTGTAGCTCTAGAGGCTTGGGTCAGCAGAGTTTCATTCAGCCACGCATCCCTTTGAGACTGCTGCTCAGACAAATCTGTGCTTGCGACTATTCCTGTCTTGCTTTCAGGTTTGCAGAGAGGTCATCAACTTCAGCTGCCCCAGAAAACTAAAACTAACAACAGTTAGAGCCCAGTTGCTGCAGGTACAGACTGCATCCAAATTTCTACTTTGAGTCAGATCAAACCCTGAAGCAGAATCTAAAACCAGTGTCTGCAGCCATCGAGCCCATTTAGCTGCTTGCCAAGCATCCTGGAATCAAATGTGATGCATCAGACTTGCGAATCCGCCAAAGTGAATGAAGCAGATAACCCTTACAGCAAAAGCCAAAGCCCAGCAGCCAAATCGCTCCGCAGATTCAAGTCTGAGATTTTCTGATCTGATGCCTATAGATGAAGACCCTAAGCTGCTTGGTTCCCGCGCCCTGCTTCCTCTTTGTGGTTGCCAAGGTGCAGAGTGGGGCGCCTCCCTGGCCCGGTCCTTGACTGCCATCAGCGAGCTGCGGGAGCTCAACCTTTGCTTGCATTCGATCCAGCTCGGCTTGGGGGCCCGGAGCGGAAGAGAACGGAACGGGCCCAATATGCAGTTGCAAGCGCTTAGACCAGGTTCAGCATTTTAGGCAAAGATGGGGTCCTAGAGCACGAACGAATCGCTCCAAAAGACTTCCTGCCCCGCGTGCCAATGAGACTTGGCTTCTGATTTGCACAAAAAATATTACAAGGCGAAGCTCTCCTAATTGCTGAACTTCGCCGTCCGTCCAGGCTCCAGGACAAGAAAACTACTGGAAAACCATAGTTAGTTCTTTGAGTCCTGCGCACTGTTTCCTCTTTGTGGTTGCCAAGGCGCGGAGGGAGGCGCCGCCCTAGCCCAGACCCTGGTCAGCCTCAACAAGCTTCGAAAGCTCAACCTCACTTTGGACTGGGCTGAGCTGGGCCGGGTGCCCAGAGCGGAACAAGGGACAGAAGATCTGGCTGCTTTTTGACTTTGAACAAGTTGAACTTGGCAATTTTGACCTGGTATCTGTTGTAGTGACATTGTAGTAACTGCAGTGAGCACCAGACATCTGCCCAGCAGTCGTCCGAGGAGAGGATGGCGGAAAATCGCTGGCACAGGCCCTCGGACAGCTGCTGAAGCTCACCAAGCTGCGGCTCGAAATCTCCGGGCTTCGCTGGGGCCTTGGCAGGCAAAGACAGCAGTCAACTCCCTGCATGTGTTTCCTTGAACTTCCCATCCCCCCATGCTGCTTTCCCTTGTCGGTCGAACCTGCCGTTTAAGCGTCATGACAAGTTCAAGCAACTAACAGGTGCAATCGCATGTTTGTTCTATATGCCTATGAAGCTGGGCACTTGCTCTTCCCTGCGGCAGCTTCATGGATCAGTTTGCTTCCAAACAAGGTGTTTTTGCTCGTCCTAAGTAAGCGTCAGGTCATTGTTCGAAAAGTTTCGTTTGCTGTATTCGTATACATTCCTCGTTTTGTGTCATAGATTCGTGCCATTGGCTTGTGTGTGTCTTGCGCTCCGGAAGATCAAATCCCTGACGGCACCAGACTTAGGGCTAAATGTGAACTTTCAGGGCCGGTCAGGTTCATACGGTTCAAAAGCATGTCCCCACATCTGCTTTTAGGGACCCCCCCCCCCCCCCCACCATCTCCTTTTCGGGTTTCCGTTTAAGGTAGGTTTGGGGCTTGGTTTAGGGCTCGCCAGCCAACATCTCCGTTTAACTTTACGTTGCTAGCTCTGGGACGCGGATGTGATTCCCGAATTGCACGTCACCCCTGTGAATGTTAGCAGTTCGTCTCTTGGCACGTTCGTTTGGCTTGTGCTAAACGCTATATTGAAGCCGTTGACAGCAGCATGCGGCTCTTGGTGTGCTAGCGTGAACAGAAGCGACGCAGCGTTCCGGCGAACACGAGGCTGTGATTTGCAAAATGCTCAACACCCTCACAACAATTTACGGCAGACTTCCTCGAGAGCTTGAAGTAGGCCTTTCGCGAAGAAAATCGTCGGGGACATGTGCGAAGGGAACTGCACGCGGGTCAGCCCTCCTTGGGCCACACGCGAATCCCATGCCTCATGTTGCACTCCTTGCATGTCATTGCCATTGAGTCCTGGGGTCTCGCCTTGCAATTGACAGGAACCGAAACACATGTTGCCTCAGAAGCAACCAGCTCCCCATATGCAGCAGAGCATAGAAGCGGCGTAGCAAGCTGTCAGTGCCAGTCCAAGCTGCCATCTCAAAGTCGACAACTTGCATATGATAGCGGCCGTTCCACCTGGGAGAAGTGCTGCGTCCCCTCTCAATTCGCCAACCAGCCTGAAGTTCAAACATGGCGGACAGTGGTGTGCATTATCGCCGTTCCGATGCCTTCGATTGGAGATTTCTTGCGTCTTCTTGAAGTCTTGAGTGGTTTTGTACATGCTGCGCTGAGGCACCGAGGAGGCTGTCGCCCTGGCCGGTGCTTTGGGCAACCTCACGGAGCTCCGGGAGGTGAACCTCCTCTTCGGGAAGAGTCCCCTCGTCGGCGGGGAGCTTGGAGTTATGCCCGACCCTTTGTGAAAATCCGAAACTTCTGAAGAGTCCTAGAGCATCCGTTTTGCCGAGGCCTCCCAGTCTGCCTGAAGTGGGCGGAGGCCCTTCGCCAGCTCACCGCAATGGCCAAGCTGGTTATCGACTTGCATGGCTGCGGCATCGGCCTGGGGCCCCAGCGCCGTCCCCGAAAACCCTAGAACTCTTTTGTCACTTTTGTCCATGCACCATAAGGGGAGGAGGAGAAGCCGGAGCTCCGCGCCGCGCTGGGTGCTCTGCTGGCAACAGAGAAGCAGATCTGGCTTTGAGCCGACGCCTCGGGAGCCCAATAGAGGTGGTGGGTTTGGATTTATTACCAACATTCAGGGGACTGCAGGTGTGGCAGGCAGATCCAAGAGGGCAGAGGGAATGGACAAGAAACGAAAGAGGTCTTGGCAATGACCATGGATCAATGTCACAACGGCCCCCGGCCAGGACAATTTCACAACTGGGCGGTATGTTTTGCAAACCCGGTCGCTGCAAACAGCCGAGAATCCTTATTGAATTCAGGGATGGCTTTGGGGACTCTAGCGGAGCAAAGCCGGAGAGCACGAGGTGGGGTTTCGACCGGGGACTCTGGGCAGGGTTGGGGGGTGGCGGGGTCAGGGATGAGGATGCAGGTGAAGGTTTGCTTGAAACTACTGAAGGCGACTGCGAGGACTGTGACTGTGCCGTAGTATGCGCCCTAAACTGTACTAATGAACAGCTCAGACCTCAAACCATACAAACTGAGCCTTGATCCGCACGCAGACTGGAGACCCAACAGGAGGTTCGGAGTGCAGAGCCCGGCCTTGGAACAAACAGTTGGAAGTTGGAAGATCAAGTCCTGGAGGTTCAGTGCCGGCAGATGCCGCTGCAAATGTTGCTGCCCTTCGGCGCGGCTCCCGGCCAGAGAGTGTATTATGCTTAGAATATTGCCGCATACACCCACTGCACAAAGTACCGTTTCATATTGTGTGACACACAGGCGAACTGTAGGACAGGCAACGGTAGGGGTCACACAACAGAGTGGAGAGGGCGACATTGATGACTGGAATCGCAAAGTCTAGTCAGGACCCAGCCAGTGAAGGACGAGCCTCCCCAAATGTTTGAACTGTCCTGGCTGTTACCCGTCAAGTAAGTACATTTGGGTTGGATGCAGGGCCCTGTAACGCTAAATTGTGTAGGTTATATAAGTTATATAAGGTAGTAGTAATACCTAAAGATTCCAGGGCCCCAAGAACTTGTAAAGCAGCTTCAAGATCAACCTCAGCTTTCTGCTCCTGATGCCTTTGCGCTCAGCCTGTCCTCCCAACATGCCAAGAGCTTGTCGGTTCAACCTCGGCCTTGACGCCCAAGCTTAACCCTCCAATCCTTGGGTTCAGTGTTCCCCTTGAAGCCCCCAAACTGCCCTTCAAACAGCCGAGTCAGAATCCGACTTGAAATCTTCAACGCGGAGCGGAAGCTGTGATTGGCTAGGCTAGGAGATGCATCCCGGACCACCTCCGCATAAAAGCCACCGTAGTGCACCAGTACAATATCTGATGCAGTGTATACCCTGCTTGTGCAGGGTTTCGCAGCATAAGGGCATTCTAAGGGCTCAACGCCCAAACGGCGCTTTGGGCCTTATTTAGAGGCGCAGATGTCCTTACCAGTTCTGTTTGGTAAGCACTGATTGCTGAAGAAATGGTTCAAAAGTCGCGTCGAGGATGAATGGCTGGAGCATTCTCCCTGCTGGCACGTGTCACCCTGCTTGGGCCAGGTGTAGAACATAGCGGCTGAGCGCTGGTTGCTATTCTAAAATTCTAAAGTATGCGAGTAAATTCAGTGGGGCAGGGTCCATGGTGCGGTAGCGTGCTTTACAATCATGTTCTTTTCGGGTTAGAGGCATACTTCTGTGGAACCCGAGCACAGGTCCAGGCGATCTTCGCAGTCGAGAAACAAGCGCTGAAGGGGAACTCGACCTCTTTGCCTGCCTGCAAATGCTGGCAGGTTGCTACTGGCTGCTCGGGCGTCCGCCGCTTCTTATCTGCCGTCTTCTTGTCCCCAAAATTCACTGTAGATGCCGTAGATGCGCAGACACATTGCGCGCTGCGCGATGCTGGAAAAGCCGACACATCAACTTGGAAATTGTCTTAGGGTAGTCACGCTCGGCCCTGAGTGCTCTGGCCGCATTCCGCTCATCAGCCCTGTGCTACATCATCTAGACTTTTGTTTGCACGTGCAGCTTCGAGAGGGGAGGCAGATGAGCAGACCCCTAAGAAAATCTCACAGGCAGGAAGGAGACGGCCAGAATCGACCAGCTATGCCTTGAGAGCTTTCCAAAGCGTGTCCAAGAGTTGAAGCAGTTCTTACACAATAGAGCCCTGCAGGAAGGCTTGAAACCGCGAGTGCCTGAATCCTGCTGTTGCTACCAGAGCTCGTAATGACAGAGCATTTATGATTGTGCCGTCCTTGAACACAAAAGAGCTTCTTTCAACCAGAAAAATGCCGACAGGCATTTTTGCTTCCCCTGGTATAAATTTTGAGCTGCTCTTTTTGATCTATCTGCTTATGCAAATTTTATATCGCTTGGATATATGGATGCACGATAATATCATGATATTATCGAACTATTCATAATATCAACTATTTGGATTTATATAAAATAGTCTCCTTGGAATCTCCGAAATATTAATAACAATCTTTGTAAGAAAAGAGTTATATATCTCTAAAACATCGAGATAATTACTTTGAACCTAAAGGACCCATTCACGGGAATTTTGTAATTCGGACGAGGATCAAAAATCGAAATTTCATAATGAAAATAGTTGTCGTATTTTCTTCGATTATATCTCATCATCGTATTCGAAGGGAAGATAATTCTATTTAATATTTGGAATCAAAAATCGAGATGATCCTTATACGATATTGTAATAGAAAGATATCGATAATGTCTTATATCTCGATCGAAATTAGATCGAATGAATTCTTGAGAGATTGAAGAAATTAATCTCCGATTTGGACGATATTTTAATTATATTTTTGATCTGAATAATTATTCGATTTGTGCTGGGAATCTTCACGTATGCTAGCGTGTGGCAATGAGGATAATGAGGATATCTAA